CCTTTAAGGGGAGGAGATCAGCTTTTTTTTCTCTCCTAGGCATCATTCCAACCTATTTATAGCTAGCTTGTGCATCCAGTTACTCACATACTCACAACCCTTCCTGTCTCAGGAGCTGTATTTCCATTTTATATATTCAGGGACCTTACTGTAACGAGTGTACGTAAGCAATCAGTTCTGTCCTGTCACTCTGCAAGTGGAGGGATGGGACAGGCCTGACTGGTTTGTTGTCACATCCTCTACTGCGTTTGGAATCTGTTAATTCATTTTATCCAGATTTGGCAGAGTGTATTTGCAGGTTTCATGGAATTAGGCAGCCTCTAAATGATCCTGCTGCAGGAGAAGTGCAAGGTGAGCAGATCTCCTCTTTATACTCCAGGGTCTCCCTGCTAACCTACACGGAGAGCCAGATTTCCTGGTTCCTACTTGCATTGCAGAAAATGGAATTAAACTCCCACACATAGAAAATCCACCTTTTTTCTTGCTCATTCCCCTTCCAGCCCTGTGCAAACATCCATTTTATATTGCTGTCGTCCCTTATGTCCAAACGTCTTGCAACATTTAATTAAGTCTGCCCAGCAATGCAGAGCAGACAAGCGCTGTCATCTCTCATTCTCAGGGAGTGGGGAGGGAACCAAGGCATAGAGAAGTGAGTTTACCCACAGCCACACCTCAGCCTGGGGCAATAACATATAGATATACATAATCTATACAGATACAATATAGACCCTGACAGTGTAACCATAAGCCTGTCTGCTCAGCTGGATGAGACCATCTCACCTCTTCCCTCTCTGCCTCCTGTGCCTTACCTCTGACATTGAACAACAAAGACTCATTCTTTCCTAGGAAAGATTTGTTTTTCTAGAACTTACTTAAACTGAGCAGCATCATTAGCAAGATGCCTCTGCGTCAGTGCTTCTGCCTGTCTAGCTGCAGAGTGTATTCAAGTGCTCAGTTTATTGTTGCTTTTGCTTTGCCTTATAGCTAAATAATCAGTTTCTGGGAAAAGAAGAAACGACAACGTGACAGTATACTTCAAAGAAGTGGACTGAAGCTGTTAACTACTGTCTTGTGGCAACAGGAATGTTTTCTGGGCTGAGCAGTGCCCTAGTCCCAAAGCCAAGCTGAGCTTCATCTGTTTTCCAGCCTTCACGCAGTACCTACTACCCAAGGCTCCCATGACTAGGAACAGCCAGGATAGTGATAATGAATATTCAGACGCCCCACAAACCACTCTCAGCATCTGCCATCCTATCTGCATTAGCATCAGAGTGCACAGATAATGATCAAAGCAGCATTTTCCTGCCAGAGGCCCCCCTAAACCAGCCTTATTAGTATGAATTGATGCTGATTAATGTGCTTCCTTAATGCAATTGTATCTGCCCCTACTGTTCATGATTTAACATATAAAACATCTCTCCCTTTACTTGCCTCATAATATCACATGAAAAGTGCAGACCTTGACTGAGGATACCAGAAAAATCAGTGGTCTAAGTTTTGTGAGAAAGGAACCTAAAATATACTAAAATGAAATACACAGAAGAAGGGAATAAGCCTTTGGATAGATCTGGATTCAGGCATCCTATGAAAAGATATTGGCAGCTCTGCTGTGCCAGAGCAGTTCTGCTTATGCAGCATGTAAAATTGCCTGGCTAACTAAAATAGGCTCTTTGCTTGCTGTTGGCAGACTTCTGGACTTTAGTTCTGAGGGTTTCATGTTTAGTTTGGTGTCGCTCCCTTTCTAACATCACCTGTAAAAATGAACAAATACTGTGGTTTGCCTTCTGCTCTGTGTAGCACTGACAGTGGCTTTATCTGTATGGGTTTTCAGTGTAAATGACATGGCCCTAATGCGTTGTGTCCATGCTCCTGCACAGCAAGACACTGGGGAAATCACCACTAAACAGATGACAGAGTTTCAATTAGGAATGGGTGAGGTCCTCTTGCCTGATTTCACTTCCACTCCAAATCCTTGGTTGCTCTGGCTGGTTTGAGGTCTGCTGCTTAGAAAAGCAGTGGTCAGGTTAAACCTCATTCAACTAAATCACAAGTGCCTCAAGGAACTGTCTGACCAAAGGACAAAGAACAAACCAGCCACCCCCAAAAAAGTATGGGAGGAAAGGAACATTGAAAGAGAAGAGTACACAGAAAACTCCCATGTGTCGTATCTGCTGCTTTTCTAAGGAAAGGAGCAATATCCTTAATGTAGGATATGTGCCTCCCTTGGGCTAGTCTAGTGCAAAGAGCAATTGAGAGACATCATTTGGTAGGAAAGAAGCTTCTGTGTTGGAATTAAAGAGTTGACAAAATCCCCACAGCTTTACAGCTTCTCCAAGTCAATTTAAGGATCCCACAAAATGAGATTTTACCCCTGTGGGTTTCAGTAAAATGATATGTTCGGGGGGGGGGGGGTGCATGTTCTGAATCCAGCTCTCAACTGCTGGAATTGGCTGTGGCTCCACTAAATTCACCATAACCAGACTGATTTTAACGCTCCCTCAAAAACTGCATGGGACCAGGTTTGAAGTGACCAGTTCTGCCAACAGGGTAGGGTATTAGAAACAACCAACCCTCCATCATCTGGGCAGCCACCTACTTTCTGGCTCCATCTGCTGAAGCACATGAGGCTCTCCCCTCCTCCTCAGCTGACTGCAGTGGGAGCAGGAGATAGACCCAGAGAGTGTTTCCAAAGCGCTCAGCTCCCAGCAGCTCAGACCATGACACTCGTGGCTGGATTTCTCCAAGCCCCCAGCTCCCTCCCTCAGCTTAGTGCATGATATTTGGCCATGAGATGCCCAAAGTGCCCTTGCAATCTTGCCCTGTGTCTCTAAACTCTTTTCCTAACTCCTTCCACTGGACTTTGTCTCATCTCCAATTTCTTTTGCAAGTACCAGCACTGTGACCATCTGTGTCTCCTATGCATGTAGGGTGCTGCTGCCCATTTTCTTCCATGTTGGAAGAAGGAGGACATTGTCTCCTCCTCATGCTACAACTGCTTTAGCAATATCCAGCAGAAATGGAGAAAGAGATCCCTTTCTGCTTCCTGTATATTCAGGTCACCCTTAACTAAGATAAGCCTTCAAATTCTTACCAGCCTCCTACAAACTAAAGGGGAATTTCCTCCTCACCACACAGCAGATACAACTAGAAATCACAGGCTTCACGTACAAACAACATTTTAGTTCCTTTATAAAAGTGGGGACAGCAAAGCCGTGGTGCAGGCTCCCTGCTCTGGGTGTGAATTCTCCATCATGGGAAACCTTTGAGGTTGCCCACAAACCTCTGTCAGATGTGACACAGGTATGTCTGAGTCTGCCTTGGGGAAGAGGCGCGGATTAAATGACCTCTCAAGGCCCTTCCAGACCCATTTTTCCATGATTCTTGGAGACAGAATCCCAGGCTTGGTGGATCTCTGGCCTGACCTACAGTGACAGTTCATAGATGTGTCTGAACACATACATTGCATGCATTTCTCTCCCACTACAGCCCCTGTGGACCAGTGAGGTGGTATTCAGGGCTGAATAGCTCTTTAGCAAAAGGCAGAGCCTCTACCAGGGGCATTGTGTGGGGCAGAGATTTGCAGCCTCTATCACAGTGTTTGGTGTTAGGCAGGGCAGGAGGAGAGCTGGGGATATCCACACATAGGAAGAAAGTCTGACTGAAAAAGGCATGTTTTCTCTGTTCCTCTGGGCAAGCAAAGACAGTGAGACGCCCTTAGTGGATGCATGGCAGCATGGTATCTAGGTCTGGGGCTGTCTTCCCCCCTGAGCTGTTTTGAATGAAGAGGACAAGCCAGAACAGTATCTTCAACCCATGTTTACCTGCCTTTGCTCTGCAGGTTGGTGCGAGGGGAGGGGATGCTGCACTCCCTGGAGGCCATGGGACAGGCACATCTCATTTTTCTTCCCCACACATAGATGATGTCTTGCACATCACTCTTATTCTGCAAGTGCTTTTGGCTCTCTGCCCATGGGGAACACAGCCTAAACACATGTGGTTTCCCTGCTCCCCCCAGTCATCACCTATGTGTGTCTGCGTGCATGCTGCCAGTAGGCTATTCACTAGTGCTTTCTTACCTACTAGTTTGCAACAGTTGTGTTTGCAAGTGTCTTTCTGAAACACACCAGGACTATATAATTATGTAAATGTGCACATGTCTATGAGGGTTTTGCAGTCTCTTTAGGTTTTAACACAAATCTCATGACATTTGCTGGCTTATTCCCCTTCACTCCAAAGCACTTGCTGTGTTAATAGGAGGCTCATATGGGTGCCCCAGCTTTTCATGTTAAAATGAGAAATGAAAAGCATGTTTCTGGATATCACAGTGGGCAAGAAGAGCTGGAAACAAGCAACAACAAAAGCTTCAAAACCTAGAAGGCAAAGGAAAATCCAGATTCTGCCTATCCTCTGGAGTTTTTTAGTTGTAAGTCTCTTAAACCAAGATCACAGTTCTGGGGCAAGTCCAGCTCCTACATGGAGATAATCTGCAGTATGCAGTACATAGCTAAAGCTCATCACTGCAGTATGCAGTAGGCAGTACATAGCTAAAGCTCATCACTCTCAGCAGTGTGAGAACTGCCATACTGATGTGTGTCTTGATATCTTTATGTCTGTTCTCACCCATGTGAACCTTAAGCTATTGGCAGTTTACATGTATGACTACAGAGGCTTGGGGTCTGCCCATTGGTACATTGGTCTGACAAACATGCTTGTGAACCTGGCTATGAACTTATCTGTCGTCACAAATGAAGTACACCCACACCCTTGGTCCCTTTTGTCACGGTATTACCTTCATCTCCCTATCAGAGCTAATGCTGAGTCTTTGGAGCAATTTTCATTGCCAGCTGAGGACCATGAAGAACAAAAGAAGCGCTTCCAGATGAAACAGGGACAATGATGTGTCTCAAACTGACTACAAGCCTTGAGCCCATGGGAACTGACTGAGTTCCCACCACCTAACAAGTTATCCAAGCTCCAGGTGCTGTAGGAAACCAACGTACCTGTATATTTTATATCTGGTTGTAAATCCTTGACGATGTCTTTCCACAAAGGATAAGTAGCTCCGTGAGTGGTGGAAAGGCCCCCTGTCTGAAATAAGCCAATCAAACTCCTTGGAGACATGTTGGTTGGTAGCAGCTGGGTCCTGGTGGGAGGGCTGTACTAGTATATGGTCCCATATAAACAGGAGGTAGAGGAACTCAACAAGCCTCCAGTTCATGCTTTTCTGTCTGCCTTTTTCCTCTCATTCTTGCTCCATTCTGTGGAGTCCTGTTGAAAAAGAGAAGGAAGAGGAGGAAGGAAAGAGAGAGAGAAATGGAGGGGAGAGGGAGGAGGGAGAGAAAGAGAGAATTTAAAATGGGAATTGCTTTGATCCTTCGACAACTGTCTCTCAGGGTGAAAACAGACATGAAAAATCAAGTTTTAAAAGACTTCCCTCTGCCTGTGTTACAGCTTAGGGTATTTGGCAGTGTTTTACTCATGTACCTAAGTGGTGTCTTTAACCTCCTGAGCATATATCACCTTTGAAATAACCAGGTCCTAACCTGAGACATCCTTACCCCAGCTTTTCCATCACTTCCCTCATGAAGTTCTCTGCAGTGTCGCAGAGGCAAGTGAAGCTGGGCGCAGAAGGTGACTGCACCCTAGGCTACAATTACCCCTTTCCTGTCCCTTTAATGCCATGCCAGAGAAACGTGTCTTCTGCTTTCATGCCTGTCTGATGATCTGTAATCCATACTCCGTGCAACCCGAGCAATCTATGAAGGCCCAGCTCTTACTTCAAAGTGTTGCCAAAAAGAGAAATAAAACAAAATAATTACCCAGGCTCCAGTGAGGAGCACATTCGGACACACAGACACACACACGACTATGAAATCCTGCCAAACTCTGAAGGAGAAAAATCACCTCAACCTGCTTTCCTGCCTGTGTGTCTGGGAGGTGTGTGTCTGGTAGAGGGGGAACAAGGTCTGTTGCTATTTCGATTACAGGAGGACCTCCAGGCTCTTTGCAAGATCAAGGCTCTGCAAGGTGACACAGTGAACTTGCATATTCAGTGCAGATTTACTAGGCAGCTTAAGGGGATGCTTCACAGCACCTGGTGCAGGACATGTTGTCATTCATATGATGGGAGAGTGGTTGTTCCACTGCACCCCCACATCAAATCATGGCTGAGGCCAGTCCTGCTATGAGCCAGCTCCTCTCCCCGACGTGTTTAACAGCTAAATAGACAAGACATATGATGAGTGGGAAGGGAAACAGAGGGGTGAAATGCCTTGCCAAAGGTTACACAGCAAGCCACGGATACAGCTGGAAGAGAGCCCTCATCTCCTGACTCCTATTCGCAATGTTTCAGCCATTAGATCATCCACCTCCACAGTCATGCTGTTGGCACAATGCCCCTCTCTGAACAAAGCTGTGTGTTCTATTGGTGGAAGGTGAGCAGCTTGCTTAGCTGACACCCCACGCCTGACATGGATACCCTCACTTTCTACTTCCTAACTCTGGCTGCAGCAGCGTCCCAGCTTGCTGGGTTGTGTTGCGTGTTGCTGATGCTGCTCGGAAAAAGTCATCTCCATACACAGGACATGTTCCTCCTCCTGCCCACCTCCTGTCCATCTGGCTGCCTCGCTGAGTCTGGTGAAGGATGTGCCAGCACAGTGGGCATACCTGGGCAGGCAGAGAGATCTTGAGGCTGCATCCCCCACTCCTGGAGCAAAAACCTTGCTAAAAGTTGTCCTCAGGACAGGTTATACCCATCTATTTCTGCAGAATAGAGTGCAGAGAGACTGTTGCTACTCTCTGAAGCAGGAAAAGTTAGGCTATGCAAAGCTCTGCTACAAGGAAATTTAGCGTCAGGTTTATTTGTACATCCCCAGAAACCATTCTGATTTTGAGTCTGAGTCCACCATAAGCCCTCAAACTAAAAGTTTGTGAGCCCCAAATATGACAGGTTTTGCTAAGAGCGTAGGAGAGGCCAAACCAAGGTGTGCTAGAGGTGCCATGTGCACTTGTAGCACTGCATGTGAATGTGAGACCTTGGCTGATGTAAGCAGCGCAGTGTAGACCAGAGAGCATCACCATCTGCTGGCATGGGTGTCTCCTGCACCAGGATCTATTCCCAGGAGCACAGCAGAGCTGCAGCCCATGTCTCTGAGCATCCAGGTCTCCTGTGCCGGGAGTGTGACAGGGAGCACAAGTGCCGAGTGCGTGTGTGGGAGTCTGCACGTGTGCACAGCATGTGTTTGTGGAGCTGCAGTGTGCTCTGCAGCACTTATCAAAGCTGAGTTGTGTAAGTCTGGTTAAAAACGACACTCAGCTGTTGTATTACATGAAGGAATGAAAAACGTTAAGTATGGGAAAGTCAACGAATGTTCGCTTTTTCTGTTGGGCAGAAGTTCTGTTCGAACTTCTTTCCAAATGCCAATAGAATATTACTGTTATTAAAACTAATGGTACCTGTAGCTCCTGACTGAAGAGGCTGTTCTTGTTCTGAAGGCATGTGTTTAATAGTGGCCTTCAGCACTAACTCTTACTGCACCTATTAGTGTGGCAGCTCTCTGTGTTTCAGCCCATCTCCTCTCAGAAAGGATCGGTTCTACTTTACCTTACAAACCCAGGGTTTGGGGATAAAGGGATATGCTCTATTCCCACACTGAAAAGAATAAAGTATATTCCAAGTGAACTACATTATATCTCTTCTTCCACTCACACTGGTCATGATCCCAAGGTGATTACTGGGAAATGCTCCCAGCTGTATCGCACCCTGAGGATTTCCGAATTCCAGTTCAGGAACCCATTCCTCCTTCTCCATCCAGGCTACTTCTCTGCCTTGCTGCTCTTTGCAGATCTGCAACACTGTCCCATCACAGTAAGCAGCTGCAAACTCAGCATATTTGCCATTAGATGGGTACGCACATTTGTTCTGATAGCTATCAGTACACATTGTCCAGACTTGCTTGGGTGTCTGTTCATTAAACTCATCCAAAACTACCTACTTCATCAGCCAGCCTGGACCAGTTTTGCTTTAAACATTTCACTTTCTATTGAATTTCTATTGCAAAGAGAGGAGCTTTCACATACCTAAATGGAGTGATAACTCCCCTCCAGTTCCCAGGCAGTGCAAGTGTGAACTGAACTATAAGAAGAACCAAATAAAACGTGTTTCAGAGAAGTCCCAATGTGTCCTCCCACATGAGAGCATCACACACTGAGGAAATATCAACTTATAAAAGAGAGGAGATACTCACTAATCCCCCCCACGCACGTCTTCATTCCCCCTTCCTCTCCTTTTAGATTGAAGCTAGTGTCAGGATGATAAGAGTTGTGATAGCTCTTAACCACAGGTTAAGACATGGGGAGAACATGCCTTCAGATCGCTAGCAGAAAAGGACACATCTCCAGTCTGGAAGCTGGATCAGCGCTGAGAGCAGGGAATGGTGCCTGAGGCAATGAAGGATGGTAGAGCACAGTTGGGTCTAGACAACTATCACACCATCAACTTTAATTTTTTAGTAGTATCTTTTTCCCCCCTGTAGCTGCTGTAGAGATGTTGTTTCACATTAAAGATTAATACACACCATGGGGCTGGTCCCCACGGAAGCTATAAAGCTTACTAAAGTGGGATTATTTTGCGTCTAAGGCAATATTATATGAGGTGCATTCAATCTAACTCCTAACAAGACTGAATCTGAAATTAATTTGTTAGGTGTCTTTATGGGGCTCAGCTGATGTGCAATGTGTTCTGGGGATTTTGCAAAGGGGATGGGGAAAAAGGGGCAAGGAGGTGATGTCTCTAAGTATATACAGCTTGGGTAGGAGAGCCAAGACTAAGTAAAAGCCATCTCTGCATTAAAAGGGGAGGCTTGGGAGAGCCAGACACTGGGTTTTCATCCAGGTATCTAGGTTTCTGCTCAGCTCTGCACCTTCTATGATCTTGGGCAATGCCCTTCCATGCTTTTTTGCCTTGCTTTCCAGCATAGAAACACAATAACATTTGACTACTTGGACCACAAACTTGTAGGAGAGGCCATCATCTGGTTATAGCACCTAACAAAAGGCAGTCCTGCTGCCCCCACAGCTCACTAGGTGTTCCTGCCCTATAAGCAATGAATGAAAACCCTCTTGAGGTGACAGGAAGGTTTGTAATACAGCAGTTAACAAAAAAACAAGCTACAAAGGCCATTTCCACTCCGGAGCCTTACAGAGCAATGCAGTCATCTGGGTCCTTCTGGCTCATGTCAGCAAATATGATCATGCAATTAGCACATCTGTTAATAAACATGATCAGTGGGTGAGCTAAGACATAGGCTGCAGTTCACAGTAAATAAGAACTGGGAGAAGAAAATGTTAGATGTACTGATTCTGACTCACATTACAGTCGGTTTCCAGCATCGTCCATCACAAAGGCACATCCATCAGTGCAAATAGGGGTTTCTGTTACAACCCTTTTTATTTTGTTGGGTGGTTTAAGATGGCCTTATTCTAATACAGATCCAGCCTGGAACATTAAATGTTCCTTGTCATGTGAGTCTTAAGGGTTCTTGGAGGAAAAATAGGCAAGTACTTTCTGTAAAGTGCAAGTTGTATTTGAATGTACACTTAATTTCACTGTGATTGATATCTCTGTGTTAATTATATTCTATTTTAGGCAATACCTTTTCTGTCACAAGGCAGTGCCTTTTATCCAAGGAGTTCAAATTGAATTAGAGACATTAATTAAAGCTCTCAGCACTCTAGTAAGGCAGGCAAGTGCTGTTACTCCCATTGTTTCTTGAAACAAGAAGAAAGGAATAGAGCTGGGTGTCTACTTAGCCACTTAAAAGGTAATTTTTATACAGTGGGATAGCTCAGAATGATAGATTTTGCACAGAATGATACTGCAAGGTCTGTTTCATACAAGGGAGGTTGTGTAGCGCCAAATGACTGCTACAAACAGGAAAGGCAGAACGTAAGAGCTCTGACTCTCCATCACTTGCTGTGAATACTTCACTACTCCTCTGCCTCCTGGGATTTTCTACCTTTCTTCTAACCTCTGTACCTTTCATTCATCCCTTCTATTAGATTCAAGTTGATTTTGCACATATCCCTTCTGTTTTCTCCTCCTCGTGTTGTAAACTCTTTCCATCAGGAATAGCAGACTCAGGAAAGAGAAATTACTGAACACATTATTTCCAGTAAAGAAATAAGTCCCCTATCTCTTTAAGCTTCATGCACCAATAATTCTTTCTTGTGTCCCACATTTGTTTCTTGGCAGGTTGAGAGAGGTTTCT